TGTAGGAGTGATCACTAAAGAAAATTTCTGATGTAATTGCTTATAAATTGTCTGCACATATGTATGTACGTTCCTATCGTCTTGCATTTCATTGGATCCAACCCAAAACAAAAGTTGCGCGGCGATACCTGCGCGAAGACTCAGTTTTTCGCTGAGTGGACCTACTGGTTATACTGTGCTTGCACCATGGGCTGTATGGTCCCTGGTAGAGGCGATAGCCATTGTAAAAGAAGAAGAAAAAGAACATATTCAATTTCCTAAACTATCGCCACGTTATCATTCAAGCTGAAAGCTCAGTGGACTGTGAATTTTTATTATTAATAATTATATTTTGTGACATGAAATATACTGATATTCGATTTTATTTTCTGGTTCAGAGAATCTTAACTTTTTTGTTAGAGGAAGGCACTTGTCAGATGAAAGGAGCTATCTGGAAATTTCCTGAGATAAAGGAGTACACTAATAATATTCTGCAACTCGATAAGTTAGCCAATATTGACACAACTCCATATGGCACTGATCTTAAAACTATTGCTTATCACCCTATGGATAGCAAGAAGGCTGTGTCAATAGTAGATAATAACTTTGTTTTGTGGGATTTGACTGAAGAACACAGGTACTTATCTCTTCTTTTGATTACAAGATCAATCAATCGAGATTATCCTGCTAATCTTATACTTGACTTTATCTCTGTTATTTTTAAATCTGTCCTCTTAATTCTTCTATGTATTCAGGTTATGGCATCGGGTACTTTAGCAGGCAAGGGTCAGCCACGATTTACAAATGGTAAATGGAATTCTCATAACGGTGCTAATCAGTTTATAATCTTGAATGATAACAACGTTCGTGGATGGGACTTTAAAAGTCCAGCCAATGCTGCTTGGTCCATTTTATCTGCACATTCGCAAATCATCAGGTAATAATGATAATGTAGAGATTGATTCTTGATAGAGTTGAACTTACTGTACCTACTTTACCAAGTAATTTATTTCGCAGAGATTTAGACTTCAATGCAAATCATCAATACTTTCTGTCTACCTGCAGCGACGACGGATACATGAATTAGTTCTGGGATATCCAACTACCGACGGAACTGGTGCTGTCGCGTATGGAACACTCGCACTGGGTGTGGAACATAAGGATTAACCGTTTCCACGATCAGCTCGTTTTAACATCTAGCAGTGACTCCAGAGTTATATTGTGCAGTATCGCGTCCATATTGTCCCAACCATTCGGACATATGGTGTCGGATGAACCTTCGCAGGACGAAGAATCTTGTGAGAAAAAGAAGTAAATGAATATATTATCAAGATAACGTCCTTAATTAATTTACACATAAAAATACAAAATTTCATGTTTTATTCTAGATAAGAAGACAGTCTGGTAGGAAGATACAAGGAGCATGAAGACAGTGTGTATGCAGTAGAGTGGTCGTCTGCCGATCTCTGGACATTCGCGTCTCTCAGTTACGACGGTAGATTAGTTCTCAATAAAGTACCACGTAAATATAAATATCAAATACTTCTGTGAATTTGCAATTTTTGACGGGAGATAAAAGAGAAAAAGTAATATTACACCTCTGTGAAGTTAGCACCTCATTTAAAAAGAAATGAATTTTTCGATACAGTTCTGAATGCACCCCGAAGAGTTCTAGAGTTCCTGCATAAAATTAGAAATAGTTCCGGCGAATTAAGCAAAAAATCCAATGATAAAAGTTTGGGGTGCCAACTTCACAAAAAACAAAACGAAAAATTTTTTTGTTTTTTTTGCTTAATTCGCCGGAAATTTTTAATTTTATGCAGGAACTCTGGAACTCTTTGGGGTGCACTCAGAACTGTATCGAAAAATTTATTTTTTAAAAAATGAGGTGCTAAATTCACAGAGATTAATATTACCTCGTATTATTATTTATTGTAAATTTAATTTCATATCTATGCAAAATGTTTTGTAATATAAATCTAATCAATTATACTAAATGTAATTATCCATCTATGGGTAAACGGTAAAATCAGTTTACGCGCCGTATATTGATAATGCCAGAGATTCCATTTGTGTGAATTGTAACACAATTTCTCGTATTATCTGTTAATGAAATTGCACTTAGTATTTGTTCTATTTCGTGTGCTATACTATTGTACCTTTAACCTTTAAATTAATTAAATTTTAATTTTACAGAGAATGTAAAATAGCATTTTATTTAACTAAAATAGTAACGAAATCAAATCAATCATCAAACAGTATACACATTTTACCTATTTATTATTGTAAATTATAATAATGAGAATTTTATACAAGCTATTTACATACATAAAACGTATTGTATAAACAAATATTTCTCACGATAGCAAAATATCCCAGTTTATACGTATGTGAAAGTACTCAGTCCACTTTGTCAAGTCATTAATCCACAGTAATATAAAATATGCGCGATTTTTACAGTCACGAACTTTTAGAGAATTTTCTTACAGTCTCAAATCCTCTAACTACTACATGCTAAATCTCACTCTTTTTTATGAAATTTAATTATCTCAGGATTGAGATTGCTCGCTTTGTTTTTTCCACGCCTTCGCGGAAGCCAAGAACTCGAGGTTCGGCCGCTGCGACTCGTCTTCCGGAAACACGAAGTCAAATACCTCCTCCCAGCCGTCGTCGCTGCCGTCTTTGTCCACGGCGCGCCTCTTCTTCTTCACCCTGCGCGGCATCTTCTCCACGATCTTGGCGAGAGTCTCCGGGATGCCTTTCTCACTCTCGAAGTCTTTCCACGCTTCCAACAATAACACCCGGCTCTCGATGTCGCCGTTGGATCTCAGGGCATCGTTGCCGCGCTCGAAGATGCGTCTCGCCAGGATGACATTTTCGGTACTGTCCTCCAGTTGCGGATTCAGCAGCTCAAACTTTGCGTACGCTATCCAAACCTTGACGTGCAACGTGCGCTCCAGCAGCCGCTCGAACAGCTGCCGGGCGTTCTCGGTCTCGCCCTGGACGATCTCAAAGTCGATGTACGACTTCCACAGCAGCTCCGGCATGTCCAGCCACGGCCGCGTGACGGCAAACTCGTATATCGACCGAGCGCGGTCGATCTCGCCCAATCGCGTCTCCAGCTCGGCGAATCGCATCCACGTGGTGCAGTTCTCCGGCCCGAACTCAAGGAACTTCTCGTACAGCTTGCGACATCGGTCGAACTCCACCAGCTGTATCTCGAGGTCTATGTAGCCGCGATAAAGCTTGTTCGTCGGGCAGATGCCCAGCGCCAGGCCCAGCGTCTTTCTTGCCTTGAGCAGGTTCTTCTGCCGTATCTCGAAGTACGCGTAAAGCAGCCAAATCTTGGAGAAAGTGAAACGCTTGTGCGGTATCAGCTCCAGGCAGACCTTGTACACCTGCCGGCACCTTTCGACGTTCTTGGCCTCCAGCTCCTCAAAGAGGGCGTACTTGATCCACAGGTATATGTACCTTCGCCAAAACTGTTTCTCCTTGGTGGGCGGCACATTAGCGATCGCACGCTCGTACGTCTCGCGCATCATGTCGACGTTACCCTCCGACTCCACCAGTCTCAGGTAGTCGAACCACGCGTCGTAATTTGAGGGATTCTCCTTGATCTCCTGCTCGTACTGATGCTTTCGGTTGCTGACTATCACGTCCTCGATGTCCAAGTGGTCGCCGTACTTCTTCTCGTGAATCGTGTACGCCTTGTAGATCTCCTGCGTGTTGCTGTTCGGTATGTTCTCCAACGCGTACTTGTAGATGATGCGGGCCCGGTCGTGCTCACGCTGGCTCTCCTCGAATTTCGCAAACGCCAGGAACAGCTTCTCGTCCAGGCCCTTGTCGCTGTAGAATTCGACGGCGCGCTCGTACACGGCGCGCGTGTCCTTGACGAAACCGTACGACTCCTCGAAGCGGGCGTACTTTATCCAGTGCTTTACATCGGAGTGCACTATGACAAAGCGCTCGTAGATCTGCCGCGCCCGGTCAATCTCCTTGTAGCGCAGCTCGAACTTGATGTACGTCTGCCAGGCCTGCTCCTCCGGCTCCCACTCCATCCACCGTTCGAATATCTGGCGTGTCCCGGCGATGTTCTCCAGGGTCTCCTCCATGTAGGTGTACTTGTACCAGAACTGATTGACGTGCGGCAGCATGGTGACCGCCCGGTCCCAGAGATTCCTCGCGTGATTCATCTGCCGATTGCGAATCTCCATCTCCGTGTACTTGAGCCATAGTGCGATGTTATGATGGTCAACCTCGACTGCCCGCTCGTAGATGGATCTTGCGCGCTGTATCTGCCTCTGGCTCTCCTCCCATTGCGCGTACTTCATCCAGTTCGTGATAATCATGCGATTCTTGCGAATGATGTCCTCGAACGCCTTGCGCTTGCGGTGCTGGTAGTCTGCAAACTCGTGCGGATCCGAGATCTTCTGTTTCGGCGGTGGCGGCAGGATCTCCAGATCGCGCTCTTTCGCCTCGCGCAGCAACTGCTCCGCGGTGATCTGTATTTCCGCGGGCGCCTTGTTCTTCACCTTCGCTACCTTCGGCATCTTTTGCGACTTCTCCATGGACTTAGGAGATTAGGAGGACTTGACTCGATGTTACGACAGAGAGAATCCTTCTTCTTCTTTTTTATATAGCGCCTACTCTCTGTCGAGAGTTAAGACGGGCAGAATCTAATGCTTTCGAAGTATATCTGCATTAATTAAATGAGAAATACAACGTATAACTAATTAAACTATAACGGTAATAAGCGAGTGAACACTGAGCGTGAGAGCAGCTGCTGCCGGCAGAGAGGATCTCATGATGAAATTGGAAAGGATAGCATGGTGCTCACTGCTCAGTTCGACCAAACCACGCCCACTTTTACTCGGCGCTGTCAATAGTGTAAGATTTGTATGATGACTACAAATTCTTAAGTCACGTTGCCGTAGACGGTGATCCGCGTGTAAGAACGAAAGGATCTAAGAATTAACGTAGTGAATCGTAGAGTCAGGACGAGCAAGTAGCAGAGGGAGAAAACAGTAGATGGGTCAGGAGAAGGATGTAACACGAACTTTGATAAACTCAGTATATTTACTATCACGGATTATTCACGTTAGAAAGCGCAAGAGATCAGATACACGACCGCACGCTTACGCGGTCACATACAAGATATAACATGCGACGACAGATAAACAAGATGGTCGCTACGCAACTACTTTCATCATGCGTGCGCATGCATTTGGCGGAGGGATATCACGCATTCACTCATGCCAACCTTACAATAGGATGAAATCTTACCAACTGAGAAAAGTAAAATTATTTAGCATTAGCAAATTGGTTGCGCTCATAGACTTATAAGATAGACTGCGCGCCCTATTGTTCTGGGTGAGGCAGAAATCTAAAGTGAGAGGGCTACACTTCACACTTCTCTTGTCCTTGTCCGGCACGGCTGACGGCGGCCGGCGCGGCGCGGGTCTCCCCTCTTTTCTTCTCCCCACCAATGATTGAACAAGGACAAGAAGTGTGGAGTGTAGCCCTCTCACTTTAGATTTCTGC